GCATCAGGTACATTCTACTTGAATTAGCCAATGCATTGGTTCTTAAGTAATTAATCATTGGTCTTGTTTGCTCTTTGCTTTTTATTTCCAAGATAGCTCCCTGCAAAGAGCCCAACACCTCCCACCCCTCAAAGAAACACAAAATTGCTGAACAAACTCAAAAAGTGAGCAGAGTCGATCCTGACCTAGTTGGCACAAGGAGCTTGGATGATTTATTTGGAGAGTACATTTCACTGTGCCAGAACACCGAAGGAAGCTGCAGCCAACCTTGAGACGCCTGCTTGTGGGCGAGGAGAGGGGGCTCCTCTCCGCGCGCCCCGGCCCACCGGCGCTCCTCAGCCTGGGAATCGCTGCTCTTGGGGTCTCCGGTGGATGGAGACCCACCTGGAGGTCCCTTTGGGCCTCCCCTGCCCGGCTGCCTCAGCCGTGGAGATGGATTGGCCTGAGTGGCAGTGATTGACCGAGGTCACAAGGGATATTTGGCCTGTGCGGAGGCAGCCGTGCGCCTTCAGTGGGACCAGAGAGCCCACGAGGCATCAGCAGGGAGGGCGCAGGGGCAGCCTGCCAGTTACTTGGCAGGTTATCTGGCATTACCCTTAAGTACCTGATCTGTCAGGGCACCTCAGAGTTTGATGGCTAAGAGCAGTATGCACCTGCAGTTACTTAAATCCACAAAATTGCACCTGTAGGTATTTGCAGGCAGCAAAGTGTGGGCATAAAATTAAAGGCCGTTTCCTAAAATCTGCACCTAAATATTGATAATAGGCTATAGGAGAGGTTGTTACTTTGAAATGGATTTGCAAAAAGCGATTGAAAATCTCCAGGCGTCCCATCTGTGTTTAAAGTAACAACAATAACAAAACTTTAAATTAGCATAGGAGATTTAAGACATTTGAGGAAAACATTGATTAAATCTGCCAATGAAATGAATGTGTTTGGCGAGTGACCTAATTAGTGTATACTTGGTTCTTTTTCACTGCACTGCTTACCACTAATTGCTGTTCTGCTGGTCTTCTCCTGACAAGTAAGAAAAAACAAGGATGAGGGATTTGTTGAGGAAATAGTGACATTCAGTTTTAATTCATTTGAACCTGCTGCCAAGCTTAATTATGGAGCGGAGAAACTGAGACCAGGAGGCCCCCAGCCGTTTAGGTTATAGGAGGCCTTGATGTTTACTGTCTGCCTGTGCATTCGGTAGCACTCGCTGCAGCCGGCTATAAACTTAGGCTTGCTGATGCTTAGCTGTTTTCTTTCCCCCACAGGTACAAAATCACAGTTTTTGTTCCTTAAACTTAATTATTTGGCTCTAATGGCATGAGGCCAAAGCAAAATGCAGACATTTTATTTCTTAGAAGAAAGGTTTAACACTTAATCTAGACAGTCTTGCCTTGGGTCTTCTGTATTTGTACGTGTTTCTATTTACAAGGTAATAGTATATGTCATTCTGAAAAAAAAAGAAAAAAAAAGACAAACCAAACTCAAAACAAAACAAATAAACCCCCAAAACTAGAGATACAGAAATATTTGTTGCAGCACTGAAGCACCTAAGATGTCCTCACTAAGTACACTTGGCTTGAGGGACCTAGGTCAGTGACACACTCGGTTCCTGATTCTTTAAGCAGTGGGAGGCGATGCAGTTTTGCCTGGATGTATTTTGGTCTCTTAAAGGAAAAGGGCAAGAAGCTTTGTAAAAAAGAAGGGGGAAATAGTTTTCGTTTTTGTATCCTGTGGCGGCAATAGATTCTTGTGCGTAGAGTCTAGAGGTCCTGGTTTAGAATCCAAGTGAATTTTTAGAATTGTGTCCTACACATTAAATAAATAAATAAGTAAAAAAGATAAAGGAATCCACAGACCAGAATGTTTACAGGACTGCACACACACACACACACAAAAAAAAAAAAAAAAAAAAAAAGAGAGAGATTTTCTGGAATTTGGAATTTAAGGAGAGAGGCGGGTGGGGTTTGCACTTGTTTTTGGAAGAAGGAGAAGAAATGTAGACATTAGACATTTTCCTAGAGCAGCGATGTCCAATTGGCCTGAACATGCCCCATGGGGCACTTCCAGCCAGGCTGCTCCGGCCTTTTCCCAGGAGGAGCCGGGAAGAGCCAGCGGGGCCGCGAGCGCAGCCGCGCAGCCCCGAGCACGTCGCAGCCCCGGGCCTGCACGCCGGGGAGCACCGGGGGCTGTGGGAGTCCCTCAGCTGGCGGGGGTGTCTCAGGACCCAGCTTCTGGGGTCACTAACCGTGATCTATTCGGAAAAGTCGGGAAAAAAAAAAAAAAAGCCAAAGCAACCCCCACCAAAAAACCCACACTACTTTTTGTTAGGGCTTGAGACCAAAACAAAAAAAAATGAGGCAAGATTGTAAACAAATGAAATATGCCAGTGTGGGTCATCAACATAGGCTGTAAACATCTAAATGGAAGAACATAAACTCTCAGAAAAAAAACAGCAGGCTTTTCTCCCTTTTTTTTTTTTTTCCTCTGTTATATAGCACTGCAAAGTTCTTGTAAGGATACTTGAGTGCTGAAACAGCCTGGGAACTTGGCTCCCCTCGCAGCAGATTGATGTGCTCTGGGCGGGTGCTCAGCCACGGAGTGATTTTGTCCCGGTGTTGCGTGCGCGCTGCAGAGATGTGCTGCGAGGGGGGAGGCAAGAAGGATACTTGGCATGGGAATGAACCTCGGGAAAGGAAAAAGAGCAGCTTTGCAGCTCTGCTGGTAGTTTTAGTACTAGAATGCATAATAGGCAAGTAAAGATGCAAGGGCTTTTGTCTTGAGACGTGCACTGAATATAATGGGAAAATACGGTTATATCGCCACTGTGCCTGGCTTTAAATATTACGGACTAATGTAAATCTTCAGTAATTCGCTCTGTTAGGTGTACTTGCTGCCTACACTAAAGCACCAGAATATAGCCTTATGCATTCCAGTTTATATGTGCGAGAAATACTAACTTAGATATTCTTGCAGTGCTGTCTGGAAAGTCATTAAAAATCATTTCCCTTGTATTGGTGCATACATGAATCCCATCCTGTGCACTGATGGATATCAAAACCTACCTCTATTATGTGCTTTCGATGTCCGTAGTAAAACTTGTTTTTTGCACTGTCATCTCCTTGTTTTCAGGCGTAAGCACAGTGAGAAATAAAAAGAAATGCAATCTCCCAAGGAGAGCATCTTGTCCTGTCTCTTCCCGCTCCCCCACCAAATTATTCTGGGTTCGTTCCAAGCTCTTCCATGTCTTGGAGATTTAATGGCGGAGTCTGACTTCCCAGGGCATCTCAGGTTTCCCATTTGGCAGCTCTGCCTTCTTGTCAGGCTCTCTAGCATTGCGAGACTGAAGCGACGTCTAATCGCATCTCCTCCTGCCTCCCAGAAGCAATTCTCCCAGAGGGCAAAGACACTGCAGCAATCCCAGGAAGACTCTTGCTCTCATGTAGCAGGTTTTTTTTTGGTTCAAAGCAGCATAAACTGCATAGTTCCTCACTGCTGAGGAAGCTTTGTGAGGACTGCAAAGCAAACTGTGGTAGGGAACAAGCTGATTTCAAAATGACATGCCGAGTAGGAGAAGAAAAAAGAAAAATTAAGTGGGGGGAAGCTGAGTAGGTAAAGCAAAAAGCAACCCCTGCAGCTGACCAAACTCCAGTGCCCTCTTTCATGCAAGTGTTTGTTGGACAGACTGCCTCTATGCGCAGCTGATCCAGTGGTTTCAGTTTGTAATGAGGGCCAATATCCTCCATCCTCCACCAAAGTAAAATACAAAAACCAGGAAACAACAGAACAGAGAAGTGCAGGTCTTGACCCTGTTATCAAAATAGTTATTTTCGTTCTCCTGAAGTGCATGAGCATTTTCTTGAACAATCTTAGCTTTTTTTAAAAAAACTTTCTTTTTCATGTCTTAAAAATCGACAAAAAAGTCCATGCATGTGAAATTCTTTCACCATTTGGCTAACGCCTGCATACATACCAAACTGATAATCAAGAAATGTTTCTAACCTGGGGGCAAGGTGGTCACAAACTCAGCGTTATGCATAGATTTGGTGCACAGAGGAAGGCATAAGGCCTCCCACGAGCAGGAAGAAAGGCTGGCAAAAGAAATAAAAATGGATACGGCGGGAAAGCATATCTGTGGTCGCCTCCTGTATTATGTGTATTGACCTAGTAAATGGAGATGTCTGCCAAGGAGCTGCTATGCTATAAATATGCTAGTGCTAATATTATTAAAGCCTTCAGGCAGTTCAGTTTCATCCTTATGGCTTCCAGGGGGGAATGCAAAGGGGTGACCCGTGGCTACAGCTTGTCCCAGCAGCACATGCCTGCCTGCGCTGTAATGGGATTTTCAAAGGATTCCAAGTAGCTGGGGTGGATTTTGAGACATCTGGGTGCCTAAATAAGCGTTTGGTGAAATTTTTGCATCTCCTTAACTCTGCTGAGATCTTCACGAGCAAGGCTTTTAAATGTTATTGAAGATGAGAAATGGGGAAGCACTTAGAAGTTCTGAAAAGTTCGTTTTGTGCCTTTTTTATATCTTTGTATCTTTAGGTAAATAAAAATACCTCAGGAGATGACTCCCACATGCTGCTGATACGCAGCAGGGACTTAATGCTGCTTGCCTTGCTTGAACATAACATGCTTATTAAAGGAAGCAGCGGCAAGGGGTAGAGTGAGAGAAGAGCAGCAGTTAGGAAGCACAAGGCTGGTTAGAAACTGAACTGTTGGAAATACTGGTGCTAGAAAAGCCGCTTGGAAGCTGACGAAGATCCCCGGCCAGTCCCTGAGATCCAGCCTCACCAGGCTGATGGTCAGATGATACCTTGAGCAACTCCTGGTAGGGACCCAGCTCTCAATGCCATGGACACGAAGGCAGGGTGGTTTAAATAGGTGAGGACTTTGCTGTCTTACTGTTGGGTAGAGCTACCTGGCAGGCAGACAAACAGAAAGTATTTATGCAGACACACACACAGAGATATTAATGAAATTACCTATTCTTTATTTTTTAGGTTACGGTTTTGTAGATTTTGACAGTCCGGCAGCAGCACAGAAAGCAGTAGCATCTCTCAAAGCAAATGGCGTGCAGGCCCAGATGGCAAAGGTAAGAAAACCCGCATTGTTAGAGGCTTCTCTGAGCTGCTCCAAGACTCCATTTTGTGTGTGTTTTCCTTAGCTTTTTGGATTGTTTATTTCATCTTTCTTTGTTGTTCCTTTGGCTCCTCTGGCGTATTCATCCTGTGACTCCTGCGTGTGTTTCTGCGGAGCTGTGTATCGTGCGGCGGGCTCTGGTCTCTCTCTCCCCCTCTCCCTGGAGAGATTTTTAAGATCCGCGTGCTGGAGTCGCAGAGCAAGTGGAAATGCCTTTGTGCTGAGCGCATTGGGAAAGAATTGCGTTTGCCTTGCCTCGGAGCAGTCTTCATTTGGTTTCTTTGCCGTGGAATAGCTGCTCCTTTCTTAATCGCCTGGCGGGTTTGTCCGAAGGAGTGATTGACTGAGCACAGGGGAGGTTTGTTGTACTGCCTCGTTCTAGCTTTTCCTGTCTTCTTATTATAAAGACATAAATGGGATTGTATGAGGCTGCGTCGAAGTATATGTTGCTGGAGAGTCTCTCTGGAGGCCACTGGAGTGCGTGGTCCAGGGAGACTGAGAGGGTCATGCCTCAAATCTCCCAGCAAGCGTGCAGGGAGGTGAAATACCCCTTTTCCAGAGCTGTCCTGTGGCACCGAGCAAAGGGACTGATGGAGAGAGGAGGTGACAATAAATGTCTATCAATCACGTGCTCTTGCTGCTGCCTTTGGGAAGGTGAAATCATGCATCTTCAGGCTCTAGGCCCCATTGGTTTGCAAAACCAGCCATTGCTCTTTCAAAATACCTTGCCATGCCCTCACAGTTAGCCCATAATATTGCAGGATTTAGCTCCAGAAATGATAGATTCTGAAGAATCTAGCTCTTAAGAGCAAGTAGTTTAGAAAACAGAGTCAACTGCTACTATACCAACTAATAACTACATCACCTCATTTGAACATTCTTACTGAAAGGACTGCCACTGATTTGAAACTTTTTATTTTTCAGTAATACCCTACTCAAAACTTGTGAAGAAAAAAATACCCTCTGTGATAAATGAGGCTCTTTTGCCTTGAACTTCACCCACTGTGCCTTAAAGTAACTGGATACGATTCCCTGTCATTCTGTTTAACAGCACCCCACAATGCAAGCTCTGCTGTTTTATTGGCTCTTAGTTTTTATTGACATGTGGCGATAAAATATATTTGCTTCAAATGGGTAAAAGATGGCAAGCCAAAGAAGCTGAACACCTACTAAGGATTGCGTTGTTTTATTTCTCTGATATACTGCATCTCTTTGTTAAAATATAGGCAATTTGATGCATTAGCCAACTTGCAAAAAAGAAACCCAAGACAAGGAGATACATTCTGTGCTACTGGTTGATCTGGAATAGCTATTTCTTGGGAGGGATAAATCTATAACTTCACAAATCTATAAAGCGATAGATTTAAAGTTATAGATCTGAAGTTAGAGATTTAAAGATGACATGATATTTGGTGTTCTGCAGACACAGGTCTTGTGCTTCAGGACCACGAGAGTAACCTCCATGCTTGCATGTGTGGAAATAATGAAAGGGGAAGCTGACTTAAAATACAGTATTTTTGATTGTCCAGCATTTTGGGGTGTCATTCCTACAGCTGATGGTTTTAGAGTGAGGAGAGCTGTGCCAGTGGCTGAGGTTTCTGTTCTGGCGGGTCTGTGGCTGGAGTAACGTTTCCCCCTTCCTGATTGAGAGGAGGCTGGTGCGTGTGGTTTTGTTTGTGTAAGGCCGACTATATTTTTAATATTTAGCCATGGTGCCTGGAATCCTGCATAGGTTCTTTTTAGTGTGTTTGATAATTCAAGATAAATATACAACTGGCTTTTCCTATCTCTGCAACAGTCAAAGTATTCAGAGAAACTGAGATTCAAAGGAAATTAAGATGACTGCACACAAAGCACATTGCGTTGCTGAGAAGGCAGGGGCCTGGCAAAGCAAGTCAATCTGGAGAAGCCTGTTAGGTCTTGCAAGTGTTGGAAGCCACGTTGCATGACAGGACGGAAAGACAATGTTATCTGCCAGGGTCTGAATTAACAGTGAGGACTCCGAAAATGGATGAAGAAAGAGGTGGGAGAAGAATTTAGTCTCTGCTTCTGGAAAACATAGCCACAACAGTTGGATTTCAAGAGCTGCTTTAAATAGTGGTGAATGGTAGCTCTCGGATACAAAGAAAGAAAAACGAATATGCCTGAAAAAGTTATCTAAAACTTTAGCATACCACTATGCTTATTAATTCCTTTAAAAATACAGTAGTGCACTGTATTTTCAGCTCTTCATTTTGCAACGGTGAAATTCAACCCTTTGTGGGGCTGACTCTGCACCAGAACAAAAGACAAGACGTGCTTAACATCAGTGGAGTGCTACCATTTTTACTTAGAACCACATATGTCTTGCCAGTGATTACACCCACACCTAAGTAGGGGTTGCCCCCATGTTCAGCAAATGTTAAAGTCTGAGGCCACTCGAGGACGCTTTGGAGTAAAGGTAAGAGAGGCTGGAGCGTGGTGGAGCTGCGCACTGGTCTTCTGCAGCTGCGAGGAAACGTGTGTAGAAATGTCAGTGCGCTCGGTGATGTTTTCCTGGAGAGAAGTCTGAGTCGGAAAGAGAGGTTCTTTCTCAGTTTTAACACAATATAATTTTTCTCACAGAAATCCAGGAATCTTCTTTGAAAAACAAAAAGCAGAGCTGAACCCCCACCCATGCTGGCTAGCAGAAATGTCTTGTGGATACTTGAGTAAAAGTATACTCGTTTTATTGATGCTCAAACCCAGCCGCCTCCCTCATTTTTATAGCACTTGGACACCCTTTTGGCTGCTTATGTTTCGTATTGCTGCCTCGGGAAGAAGGTTGAGCGCCGATGGATCCGGGCCCCAAGTTCCATCGCTGCTGGAAAGCCTCATGCACCACATAACCCGACACAGGGAAAAACAACATGAAACGTGCATCGAGCTCCCATTTTGTTCCCTTGGATGCTGCTCAGTCCCCGGCAAAGTGGTCCAGCAGGCGGGAAACACGGATAAGGGACATATGGGTGCCTGGCTTGTGCCTGTTTATGTCACTCTAGGCTGCCCATCACTTTCAGAAGTGCTCATTTAAGGTTTCATTTGTTTAGGAAAACTAACGCGTATGGAGCTGCCGAGGAGCAGTTTCCCAGCTGGCCTGGCTCCTTGTGCTGAGCGCTTCCTGGTTGCCATTGGAAACACGTCCGCTACGCGGATTCGTTTGCATCTATGCAGTACCCACTCGCCCGGGCGCCTTCTCGTGCCCAGGTGGTTTTGTTTTGTTTTGTTTTGTTTTTCCTTCTCCCCCCTTTTTTTTATAGTCTTCCTACTAAAAATGGCACAAAGGACATGCCATAAAATCGTCTCCAGGAAATTGCTGACTTGTTTGTCTCGTCGTGCATAGGGGTCACACCAGCACAATGCAGAAAAGGCAGTGCTTTATGCGCATGATTTATGTTTTGGTTTGTTCGTGTGCTCTTTTCCTGCATTTTTACATTTTTAGAAAAATGATATAGACAGAACATGGAAAACTAATAAGCAGAGTCTTGGTAATGTGAGAGTTGGCTAGCACAAGTAGGCGAGAAAAGCTAGCTGCAACACATGAAAAACGTATCAATGTTCTAATAAAATCTGTAGCCAAATCTATTTTTGGCACTAGCAATATTCTTTTGCGCCGAATTACATATTCGTGATGAGACTTCCTAATCTGCTTTGAATGTAAACTTTTAATGATACCCAGGAGTCTGGCTCATCTGAAAAATCAATAGAAGTTAGTTCTCTAAATAACTTTGAGGATCTGAATCACTGTCAGTCATGAAATTGGTGGGCTGTATGAACTATAGAATCAGTGGACGTCTTCACACACATTTTGGGGCCCTTTCTACCTTTTTCTGTTTACAGTCTTAGTCCACTGGAGGAAAATATACTGTGGAAGTTACAGATAATACAGGTTCTTGCAAAAAGTGTGTAGTAGCTTCTTTAATATCTAGCAGTCCATCCAGAGTGTTGAAACAAATGCATTTACCAAGGAAGTGTATTTAATCATACTGTTATACCCAGCACACTTATGAAGATTAGTAAATATGTCTGGTGATGCATGTCTACTCTGCATTTTCCTTTTCGTACATCTAACAATGCATTTCTTCTCTTCTCTGCATTTTCCTTTTCGTACATCTAATGCAGTTAGACATCCTTAGCACCTGTGTCAGGAATGTGGATATTGAAGAAATATTTAATCAGTGTTGGCAGTTGTCTAAATCTAAGAAACACTTCTTGACGACTCTGCTGCAATAACCGCCATCCAGAGGGTAGAGTGAAGGATCTGGGTCTGGAACAAGATGGTCCCAATAGGTCCCGATGTGCATTGCTGGATAAGGGAATTGAAGGGCACGAGAACGATTCTTGTGTGATATTTTTCTCATTCCTCTTTCATGCAGAAGCTTAAACACCAGCTAGGAGAAACATAGGAGCATATACCATGCTATATACCATATAACTAAAGGACTGTTACTTAAAATGACAGCTGCAGAAAATGGAAAGAATATCCAGTGAAAGCTCCTCATCCTAAAATATTTTTAATCTTGAAAATAAAAACTGAGCTGAAATATGGCCTTTGCACTGAACATCTGATGCTCTGAACACCACAGGTTTCTTACGTGAAATCATGATTGAGATACCTGAAAATTATACTTAACTAAACTTCAGGATATTGGTTGGTTGATATTTTGGACTAGTGGATGTCAGCCTTATTGACTGTGTTAACTTTGGGTTTTTTTTCCTCCTTTTGATGCTGGAGCAGGATGCTGGGATGTTTAGTTCAATATTGAAATATTCTGGCTTCATTTTAATGTCATTCTTTAATTATCTGCTTCCCCCCAGCAAACTGTTGTATAAAGTTAAGTGTTTGTGTTGGCTTTTTAAAATGATTTTCTTCATTTGCTACGGGAGCACTAGCTGGCGACTCTGAAAACAGACTTGACAACGAAGCTGGCCACA